CTCTCTCTCTCTCTCTCTCTCACCCGCTCTCGATCTCACTCTCTCCGAGAGAGAGCAGTGTGTGCAAGAGAGAGAGAGAGAGGAGGGAGGGAGGGAGAAAGGGGAAGTTAGTTTCACAGTCAAAACATCCAGGTGAGAACATTCGGCAAGTGGGTGATATTTTTGGCGACATCGTGTCTATTGCATGGGAAGCAGTCATATGTAGGCCCAAAAATATGGCTACAGCTATTCCAAAGACATGGAGACATTCCAAATCAAAAGTCAGGACCAAAATGTCGCTTTCCTCTCCCTCTCTTTTTCTTTTTCTTTTTTTTTCTTCTGTATTAGTGTTGGTGTAACTCTGTACTCTGCTTTGTCTGTGCATATTCCTTGCTCAGCTGTATAATAGACCTGTGCTCTGCACCTGGTGTGATCTCCTCCGTAGTTGTATATGGCATCCATTTTGTAGTTGCATGCTGTTCATCTGCTTTCGAAGACCCTACCTACCGGGTTTACCCGAACAGAACGCCTAGTCGCTGTAGCTGCATCTGGACTGAAAGTTGCCCTAAATACAGCTAAAATGACCGGGCATTCTATTCAGGTGAGAAGACTGTAGCCTTGCGTTATGCGATTCTGTCTATGTCTACTCTGAATCTGCATATGTTTACTGTACCACATCCATTGTCAATATGTTTTATTCCATGGCATCGTTCGTCTAAGCTGCTGCCTAACCCAGTAGAACTACCCTGCCATCTGCACGTCAGGGGCCCAGACCTGCTGACCCAAATACAGATGCAGACCCCTCAAACCCCATCCACTTCCACAACATGTTGCTTTCCTGCATGGAGAGAAAAAGGGAAAGATTTCAAAAGGATTATTTCAATTTATTTGAATTTATTTGAATTGTTTCTCAATATCTTGAGTTCTGCTTTTGCTTATCACTGCAGTCAAAGCCGACTCTGTTACTGCAGGTCAGGCAGGGTGGCCCTTTGACGAGGACCTTCCCTCTTCTTTTCTTTTTTTTAATTGTTTTTTACCATTTCTCAATTTATGCATGTCATCCTTGCACACCGGCCAGGCTAATCTTCTCTCTATTGTTCGCATTTCAATCGATGTCCCCAAGGATGGCAGAACCTTTCCTCGGTTTACCCCCTCCCTAAGTATCTCAAGAGGATTATTTAATTGATTTTTGTCAGCCAGGTCCTGAACCTTCACTTATCCTCGCACGGGCTCTGCCTCGAGAGCATGATGCACCCTGTGTCGGGTGCGGGGCCAGGCGGGCATTTGACGACAACCTTTCCACGCTTACCCCTTTCCTAGTATCTTCCTTGGGCCATTCAGCCTTTGCTGGTGTTGTGCGTGCAATTGTTTTGGGATGCCGGGTCAGGCAGGTCCTTTGACACATCTGATTCTCCCCACCTTTGGAACAGAGCAGACTGCTCCCCTGAGAAAGATAAGCCCAAGAAAGATAAGCCCAAGAAAGATAAGCCCAAGAAAGATAAGGAAAACTTTGTCTGACGGTTTGTGGCATTGGAAGTAACTTGTTTCTGTTTCATTTTTCGTATGTGTGTTCTATGCATGGCCGACTTTCCGTCTGTACTTTGAGAAAACTGCAGGCATATAGTCTCTGGCAGGAAACACCTGCTGAGGGGAGCATCTGATGGTACATCTGGATTTGATTCTGGAAGAGTGATCACTCTGTCATGGGAGCCAAGGTTAGTTAGTGGAGAAGAAAACCTCTCTGCCGTCATTTATTTTTTCCCTTTTGCAAGTCCTTATGTTTCGCTCTGGGCTACGCCGGGCGGCCTGCTCGGACAAGGGCCAAAAAGCCCCCTGCCCAAAAAGACGAAAAAGAAAATGAGAAGAATCTGAAAGAAAAGCTATGTTATGCAGAATGATAAACTGAACAACTTTGGCCTCAGAGAAATCAAAATTCTTTACCAAACTGAAAATAAAGAAATAGAATTAAAAATATATATATTTTTTAAATTTTTAGACATTTTTTCCTTTTTTTCTGGCCTGGTTGGGCAAGTGGTTCCCGACTCTGCCCGACACTAGTGACTACGTTTTTCTTTTTTTTTTTTCTCTTTTTTTTTTTTTCCCTCGAACGGGGGAAGAGAGGTGGGGAAGAAGAAACATGCAATATATAAATGTAATAGTCTGCTTTGACTTTCGTCATTCTTAGCGGGCGTGGCTGCTGGATCCAGATCTGTTTGGCATACAGTTTAGCGCTCCCTGATCAAATGAAGAATTCAGTCACTGATCAGTTGTCAGCAGTCTTTGATGCCTAATCACAACTAATTGGGGTTAAGGTGGATTATCACTTATATTATCATTGGTTAGGGGACTGCACAATTTTTTAGAGGGTTCAGCCTACTGATGCGTCGGTGAAATTTTGACACAGCCCCTCATTTGTTTTCCTCTTCTCCCTCTCTGCCTACCACGTTTCATCAGGCAGTTCTCTGCGACGATGTACATACCACGACTTCGATAGACCCGTGCTATGATTTTCTCTGGACAGGTTGAGTGTCAGTGGTTGGGCCTGTCAGTACGCGGCTATGCCTCCAGTCCCAGTGGAGTGTCTGGAGTGTATTGCCTGACTGTCACAAACTTTTCTCTGTTCTGTGGGTGTTCTGCTCGCTTGTGATGGGGTGTGAACCTGCAGTCGATGGAGTTTTCTGTCCGCTGTGGGTGAATGATAGTCTGCTTTGATCTGTGTCACAAGTACCTTGAGGGCAGTGGTTGCAACGCCCGGACGTTTGCGGCGCAGTCTACTGTACCTTTAAGATCGACGATGACCTGCAGAGCAGCTTCACCTGCAGCTACCATGCAGACCCTGACTTCCCCGACCACAACGCGAATTGCTCTTCGCCGGATCCGGCGCCTTCGCATTATTGGATCCAAGAGGGGTACTTGCTTGTGCATTCCCGGGGGACGGATCTTTTTTGCATGCCGAGTGATCCTCACTTGCGTATGCGGCTTTTTGGCGAGTTTCATGACGCTTCCACCACCGGCCACTTTGGAGTAAACCGTACGATTGGCCGACTCCAGGAGCGCTTTTATTGGATGGGTCTTCTCGGCGATGTCACGTGCTGTTGCGAGTCATGTGAGGTTTGTCGGCGTTGTAAGCGTTGCGATCATTGTCCGTTTGGCGAGTTGTGTCCCCTACCGGTTCCCTTGGGATGCCGGCAGGCTTGGCCATGGATATCACCGGACCGTTTGCCAAGCACAAGTTCGGTGTCAACGGTATCCTTATGGTGGTTGATCGACTTACCAGGTTTGCCATGTTTTTGCCTTGCTGTTATTGCTCATTGGCTGAAGTTCTCTACGCCAATTGGATACGTACCAAGGGTTACCCCAAGGAGATCATGTGTGACCACGACACCCGGTTCATGCTCGATTTTTGGGTTGGTCTTGTCAAGCAATGGGGATCATCTCTCAAGCCAAGTTCGGCCCGCCACCCGCACACCGACGGTGAAACGGAGAGAATGCACCAAACCACACGGGTTCCTCTTCGCACTCTCATCCGTCCTGACCAAAAGGATTGGGTTGAGTGCTTGCCGGACGTTTAGGTGGCGTACAACTCATCCATTCATCCGGCTATCGGGATTTCACTATTCGAGTTCAAGCATGGCTCGCCGGCCGGTTCTCCTTTGGACACTATCATTCCACGTACGACTGAAAGCGATGACCACCTCACCTTTAGTCGACGGATGCAAGAGCTCCTTGTCAAGGCACGGAACTAGATGTCGAAGACGCAACAACGCATGAGCCGTCAAGCCAATCGCCAGCGTCTTCCTTGCTCGTTCTGTGAGGGCGACCTCGTTTGGGTCTCTGCCGCGGAGTTCAGCCTTGAGCAAGACATCTCTCGCAAGCTCCTTCCAAAATGGATGGGCCTTGGCGCATCACCGTGCCCGTCTCGAATGCACCGGATGGGCCCTCGTTCGTTATCGAGGTGGCTGCTCACTCGCCCATCCACTAGGTGTTCCATTGTTCAAAGCTGGCTCCTTTCGTTTCGGCAGAGCGAGACGACATTCCCAAGTGGCAATCGCAAGACCCCCAAAAAAAAAAAAAAAAAAAAAAAAAAAAAAAAAAAAAAAAAAAAAAAAAAAAAAAAAAAAAAAAAAAAAAAAAGGACCCTCCCTCCATGGATGGTTTTCAGGAGGTCAGCGACATTCTGTTGCAGCGATGCTATGGCAACTAACCGATTGAGTATTTGGTGCACTTTTCGTATTGCAACCATAAGGCTGACTGATGGTTGACCCGTGCGGAACTCCAGGCCACGGTGCCCGACGTCCTCGCTCATTATGAATGCAAGCAACAAGCCAAGACGACACTTGCGGCTCTATGATGCCACATGTGTTCTGGTTCCTCCTTCAGATGGTCATCTTTGCCCTCGCCCCCGCTCGGCTTCTTAAGTAGAAGGGGGTGTAGAATGACGAGGCCTGTACACGGGCCCTTTTTCTTAGGGCCTGACGGTTGTCAGGGGGCCCAGGCCACACACCATTTTTCTTGCCTGTGCAACCTGGGGGCCCATGGCCATTTCAAGGCCAGGGACGCTTTTCTGCCCCATGCAGGTTCTTTTTTTGATTCTGCATTAATTTATTTCCTTATTTATGTTTTTGAAGTTTTTTTGAGTCTTGCTGTTTTTTTGATTCAGCATTTACTCATTTCCTTATTTATCTTTTTGCTGAGTCTTACTGTCTGGTCCATTTTTGTAAGCTCCAGGTGTGTCGCCTCGGACTTTTCCCTAATAGGTAGGACCTGCTGTAGCAGCAAGATACCACCAGGATTTGGGCCTGCCTTCAGGGCCCTAGATCGGGCCTTAGATCCGACACTCCTGGATGCGGACCGTGGGCTGCCCAGCCAGGCCCAACACTATCTAGTTCAGGGGCAGTCCAGTTGGGGCAGATTTTCGGTTGGGCAACATTGTGAGCATCACGTTGTTCGAGCAGCATGCGACTTTTGGAGTGCCGTGGAGATAGAAGCGTAGCAGGTAGTGTGAGAGCGGAGGCTGGAGAGCCATCACCGTTTGTTGGAGGACGAGTTACCTGGGCGCCATAGTTTGGACTGCACTCCAGCTACCTGCATCAGAGAGCGGCAGTCCGCCAGTCAGTGTCGGCAAGACTTCAGCAGCAGCAGGTAAGGCGGGGGGGAATGGCATAGCAGACTTCTGTTTCTTCTTCTTCTCCTTCTTCCTGCCTCCGACCTCCATAGTCACTGCTCTTCTTCTTCGTCGTCTTCTTTTCCTCCAGACAGACAGAGAGAGAGAGAGAGAGAGAGAGAGAGAGAGAGAGAGAGAGAGAGAGAGAGAGAGAGAGAGAGAGAGAGAGAGAGAGAGATGTTACAGGCAGGGGTTATGTCGGGCTATGGGGCGTAGGATCTGATTCGACATCACAGGGGCAGACATTGATTGGACAATTGACAGGGAGACTATTTGTGAACAGCGTTATCTCGACTTTGGTCTTCTCCCTCATCTCCATATTTGTCTTGCTCCTTCTCCATCACTTCATCCGTGGTTTCTCCCCATGTGTGTGTTCAAGGAGGGACCTTTCTTCTGTGTATGCGGTCCCTCCCTCCTCTCTCACATGTGTGGCGTCTAATGGGTTGGCCCGAGCCAGTGTCCGACTGGTCAGGTCATGTCTTTGAGCCTGCCACTGCACTAAATTGTGCCATTTTTCTATGTATATGGATGTACATTGCTTATTGAAGCTTCACTGATGCTGCATTATCCATTTGAGTCCTTATCATCGCTTTGCTGGTCGTTCGGCTCCATTGCATCTTTCGGATTATTACGAGTATGCATCACACACACACACACACACACACACACACACACACAC